ATTTAGTGGGGTCGCTGTTTAATAAATACATGGGAAAGTGACCTCTTAAAAATGTCAGAATTTGTAGTTGCTCACAGGTGCTCAACAGTGTGTGTAGATAGCTAAGGAGGTGTAAGATTTATTAATATTACACAGCTCTAGTGTCCTTTAATGAAAAAAAGATGGATCAAAGCTACTTTACTATGTGGAGGGAGAGTCATCTCATTACAGGGCTCTTCTGAGGCTTTTTTCGTCCCACTGGTTGATGGAGTTGCATATGTGGCTTTTGCCTCATTTTCTGTTTATGAAAAAAAAAAGAAAATTAAATGCTCCTCCAACAATAAAGCCATTAGTTTGGCCACATACCAAGCCTTGCACCAACTCTTGCATCCCAGCAGCAGCAGCACCACTCCAGCCATACGGGAGCTATTTGTAGCCAGAGCAGGACACTGCAGTTGACCCCCATGAAAGAAGAACAAGTATTTTGACTTGTTGTTTTTTTCTGTAATGGTGCCATTTATCACTGTGACACACATTCATTGACTTAGTCTGGCTTTTTTCAGTGTGGGATTTATACCTCTTTTCTGTTTTGAATATTGATGCAGCACTTCCCTTACGTGACTGCACTCCCAAATGGTGTCTAGACACTAGAGCAGCTCTGACTAATTAGTGTAGTCACCTCAGTCTCTCAGCTCTGGCATTTACGTACTCTTTATGGTACTGCTATAAATAGGTGCCTAAACACAAGCAGCAGCACAAGGAGAGGTGGCAGTGAGCGTGTCCAGACCTCACCTGACATCCCTGAGGTGTGGCACAGGAGCACTGTCACTCCCTGTCAGGCCAAGTGGTTGTAACCACTCACTTGGACATCACAACCCACGTGTGGGCAGCAGCAGGAGAGCAGGAGACCTGAGTTCAGTGTCCTGCGTGCTGTGAACATCACCAGTGCCAAGGCAAGGCTGAGAGAGGTTTCTGTCCTCGAGGGCTCAGCCCTTGTGTACCAACAATACAGTCACAGGGAAAAAAGGAAGAGAAAACAGCACATGCCATCCCAGTGACGTGGATACTTCTTGAGGAGGAACCTGCTTCGGAGTGATGCTTTCATGATAGGTCATGATCTGCACCGCATGATTTGCACCAGATCCAAACTAAAAATCGTAAAAATTTTCGGCAACTTCACAATTTTTATCATACTTTTAAATACTGCACCCATGACTAAAAGCTGAATTGACCAGCCTTGAAGAGGGGGAACTGATTAATATCAAAGATAACTTCAGGATGTCAAAGAACTTCTACAGAGCCTTGAGAACAAAAAGTAGTGAAAACCTAATCAATGTTGTCTATGCCACGGTCTGTACTAATATAAAATTAAATTGCTTCAAAAATTATATTCAGATTCAATACAATACTGCTATTAAAAAAGCTTATTTGTAAGCAAAATGTGAAAGTTTTGAATTATCCAACTGTGTGTTTGAAGAGCCACTATCATAAGGAAAGCAAATTAACTTTGCTTCCTTTGTATTTTTAACTGTTACAAATTATTTTACAGGTATTAATACAAAGCATTAGAGAATAGCAGGTTTGGGATTTTTTCTCTTCTTTTCAGAAAGGCTGTTTGTTGTTTGAGCAGATTTTCTTTGAATTTGCTGATGGGATTATTCTTAGTTTTCCAGCTAGTGGTATACAAAATATTTAAGGCTTTCCAGAACATCTGCAGGTTTTCCAGGGCCAAGTAGGACTAACTTAATTTGTGGGGTTTTTGCCCTGCAAAGAGATGGGTTTTTTTTCTTTTTTCTTCTTCCTGGAAGGAAGATTTCTGAGTAGTACCTGTTATTTATGCAGGGAAAAGGGAACAAATCATAAATGTGGCTGCGCACAATGAGGATTTTGTGACAGAAAAAGAAATTAATAGTTCCTTTTAAATGTGGTCCTGCTACATGATATGAACAATATGAAACTGCCTGTCTGTCTCTCTCCAGCAGTGAGATACATCTATGCACACTGCACAGGAGGTACACCTGGCAAGCTCTGTTTGTTCTCTGCGTAACAAAACTGCTCAGTCATGGGTTAGAAACCCTCAAGTTGCCTCCTGCTGAAGGAGCACTAAATTAACACAGTGCACATTTTTTGGTAAAACTGCTGTTATCAGATTGCTCTGATTCCACACCCCTAAAAGGATTGTCTCTTTTACCCAAACAGTTCTTAATGTTCATGTGCAATACTTTAGGATTAATGGTTCTCATTAGGCTAATTTGTCTTTCTAGATAAGTAGCAGTACCACTGTTTTGGTGTTTGCTGCCAGTCTACTGGAAATGTTTGGGGGTTGATCTTCACTGAAAGTATTGGAGTATTTTGTGGCAGATGGAGGTCTCTGTTTTTATTTTCTGGCCTTAACTTTATGTCCAGTGCAAATGAATCCACATAAGTATCAGGTGTGGTTAACAGCTCAGGAGAGAGTGAGAGCTTGGATTGTGTGAAGTTTGGATGACTGGCTAGGGAAGGGTTGTGTGATAATGTCCAGTAATGCTCAGACCAGAGCTAGCTGGACTATATTTGACTTATGAAAACTTAAATGTGCAATGTTGTCACATCATTACTTTTTATGACCACAAAAATTCTTCAGAAATTCACATGGCAATCAAGGTCTATGCAAAAGAGATCAGCAGAGCTATTTTTAGGCTCCTTTAAAATTTACAACAAATAAGTTCTTTAAGCAGGCTGGGTAGTAAATGACTGGTTTTATTCCACAGTTATCAGTCCTTAAAAACATTTAGAGAAGAGGAATGTATTAAATGATCTCTGGACCAATGCACCTAATAACCTAAGGGAAAACTGGACATTTAAGAATGATGAAATGTTTGCAAGAAATGTTTTCAGGATTATCAAGATGCTGATTGTGTAATCCATTGCTGAAAAGATTTATTTGTGGTCACATAAATAATGAAATTTAGATCCGAGGAGCTACTTTGTTTTAGAAATACAAGAATACTATTTGTGCAGAAGGCTTGCCCTTTCTACCCTGGCAGAGGTTTTTCATACTAGATAGATGTAATAGGCTCTATTCTGTTCTAAACCTGACTTCATCCAGGTATTAGTAGAATTAGAAAAATCCTTGGAAACTGTCAACTCTCTTTGTTCCCAATTGATCCAAAAGCTGGATTCAAGCCACTGTCTTAATTACTGACTGGGAGAGGAATCACTGTAGTGACAGAGGGTTTCCTTTCCCAGATTTTCTTCATGGTACTGCTATTTATCTCTTTCCAAATCTTGAGACCTATTTATTCTCAGACTGTCTCCTGGTAGGTACTGTATATATTCACTAGCTAAGTAGGCATTTTATGTAAATTTAAAAACGTATGTATGCATGGATGTGTAAGTATTGCTAGAAAGGTTGATTTTTTAAAGCTATTAAAGGCAACTGGGTACAGATTTCCATCTCAAGGTTAAGTTGTTAAATAAGGCAAGAGAGGGAGAGGAAAGCTTAGGGTTGACTGTGGCTTGAAGGCAACCATGGATTTTCTGGTGTCAGTACAGTTAGCTAGAGATGGAACTGAAATAAGGCCATGAGAACAGCTCTCATAAATTCAGGTACAGGTTGCATAGAGTTTATTTATAGGATGCTTTCTCAAACTAAGCCTCTGAACCTTTTGATGTTTGCCCATCGTTACTTTCAGGCCAATTAATGATGTGTATCCAGTCCCATTCTGGGGTAGGTAAAACAATAAAGCAAGCAAAGATAATTAGTCTCTGGAGCATGTAAACAAATAAAGTAAATCACTTGCAAATCACTTCTTTCTGCTAACTTTTGTGGGGTTGCTGCAAAACTGAAAAAGAGCATTTATATTGCAAATCTGCATAATGCTGGAGCAGTGACGAAAATTCATAGCTTACATGATTCTGATTTTGAGAGGGCTTTGCAAAGATTAAGCATCTGATCCTGAGACATTACTGTCGGTTGTCAGATGCAAAAGAACATTTTTATAACTATTTCACAGAAGAGAAAATTGAAGTAGGGAGGTGGGTTTTTGTTTGTTTTTTTTTTTTTTTAATAGATGAAGGTCTAAAAAACACTTTGTAAATAAACAAAAGTCAGTACTTTAAGACTGTAAGGCTAAGATGAGCAGGGGAGTGACTGTAGGATGTGTGACCTTGACCCACCTCATCAATGCCTGGCAAATTTCACAGACCTGAATGGGGGCATTATGTGGCCTTTAAATCACAAATAACCAGAAGAGATCCTGTCTGTTAGTCCTTTTAATTTCCAGCACGGTGGTAATCAGCTGATGACAATACAGCTTCACTCCTGGTCTTAAAGCATCTCCTGCATGTAATCAGCCTCCCCTCCTCAGTCATGGGCTGGCTGAGGGAAGTGTGGCCACTCAGCAGCAGAACTCGATGCAGAGCACACTTTCCTTTCATCTCAGCCCTGGACTCAGTGCTCTGGGGTATGGGTAAATGTGTATTTCACAAGAGCACACAGACTCTCAGTGCCATGGCCCTGGGGCGTGGGGAAGCCAGGCTGGAGCAGGGGTGAGCCCACTCTCTGGAACATGGGACACCGCCAAAGCAGCTCCTGCTTCAAGTCTTGCAATAAGGGTCTTGCTTGCTCTCTGAGCACAAACATTGGGTTTTGTGTATTCAGTAAAACAGCAGAAACTGTGTTCTGAATAAAAGACTCCAGTTAGAGTTCAGATCCAGGCAAAATGACTCCTCATATGATAAAATCAGTCTTTGTCTTTTTTTTAAGGCATGAAAATGAAGAACATTTCTTTTAGTAAAGTGCAGGCATTCCTCTGTTGTTTTGTTCCTTTTTACTGTTTCCTTACACTTTCTTGTTCCGACTTCAAAACCAGATTCTGGAAAGAGACGCGTCTTAGAAAGAGACTCTCAGTGTCTGAAATGTGTCCAATATGCATTTAAGTTAAAGAATATTAAGCCATGTCCAAAAACAGAGTGTGTAAAAGGTAATAATGCCTTCAGGCTTGATTTTTTAAAGATATGCATTTTTCTTGCTGTTTCAGATCTCGCCTTGCAGATTTCTTCACAAACTGCCAGCCTGAGTCACGCTCTGTTAGTAGCTGTCTGAAGGAGAACTACGCTGACTGCCTGCTCGCTTACTCTGGGCTCATTGGTAAGAGGGCAGGGAAGGGTGGGGGCTTGCTCATGAGAAAAAAAAGCCCCAAACTGCATTTTGGAAGGCCTGTGTGAAATAAAAACTGGAATATAATTCTGTATGATATTATGCTAGGCCAGTTTCTCCACCTGCGTGTTTTGCCTTACAGAGATTCTTGAGGTAAGCTTGTATATTGCAAGAAAATTAAGGATGGAAGATAAGGAGAGAAAGGTGCTTGAATTTGCAATACATGGCAAGCTTAAAAGGTAAAGCTTACTAGGAGGGTTGAATGTAGAGGGCAGAAGAGTAGGAAGTTAACAAGTGGAAGTGCAGCTTTGTTGATATTGCAGCTGTCGCCACAAGTCTGGCTAAACACCTGAACCTGAGGTATGAAACAATAGATCAATCCAGCCTTTCATCAATTCCAGCTGCTGTTCTTTCCATGATATCCTTCTGTCCACTCTAAGTGTTTTCAGAGATGCCTGTCAGTGAGATGAGCTGAGACCGAATCTGAAATCCTCTTCCCTCCCCAGTGTAGTTATTTTTGTTTGTTGTCACCTTCCTGAGTGTCAACCAGCACAAGGATGCCTTTATGGAAGCCAGATTCCACATGCCACACTCAGTATTTGATTCCTGAAAGAGAGAAATCATGTCAAGAAGCTGAATATGTTGTAGAAATATCATAGTTGGGCAATAAATAATAAGTGAATGTCAAAACTCTGAAACAAACAAATTTGAAAGGCCACCAGATAAGATGATTTTAAGCTTACAGCCTGCACCTGCTGCAGTGCAGCAATATCCCCTTCTGTTGGGCATGAAGGTGCCAGCTGAGGGCCTGAAGCTGATCCTGCTGTTAAATAAATGTCTCTGGAGATAAGATTGAAATGAAAATATTTCTAAAATAGGTTTGGTTTGCTGAAAAATGACTGAAAGCTATACTCAGTGGCTTATTGTTACCGTTCTTATTACTCTAGCAGCTAACAAGTGAGGTAAGTCCATGTGGCAATGGGTAAAATGAGATGTGATGGCTTCAAAGGATATTCTTCTACCACTGAAGAGATTAAGACAGTATGCAAAGGGTATAACATCTGAACAGTTATGACAGACTGTCATTTGACTCTGAAACAGAGAATTGAATAGCCTTGAAATCTGATCCTGTCAATGAGATTAAGAAGTCTGGCTGCTGGCAAGGAGTAACTGTTACTAACAGATACTTCTGGGTAAGAGCTGCCAAGTTCTTGCTGGACCTAGAGAATTCTGCTGGCAGTTTTGTTGGTTTTCATTTTTCAACTTGACCCCAAAGATGACCCAGTTCCTCTTGTGAGGTGTTCTTGTGTTACTGGGGATGACCATGCTGCAAAACGCTGTCACACATCAGAAATGTGGAATGGGTGCCTAAGGAGTTCAAATCAAAAGGAGATCTAGTTTTCAAAGGGAAAAATATGCATTTTTCTTCCTTCATGCTAGACCCTAGAGACATGCAAAAGAGGAACTGACTGGTGTTAGTTTATGCTTCTTAGTAGTAACTCTTTTAAATCAAGAAATTACCAAAACATTTTGTGTGCTGAAGCAGTAAATTCCTGCTTCTGATACGATTGTGATATGAAAGTGGAGTAAGGCAGAAATCAGCAGTGTAATCTTTCAAATGTCTGTTTAACAGATATATAACACAGGAAGAAGAGTTAGACTGTGGGTAAGAAGCTGCTACAGATCCATTTGTTCATCAGAGCTTCAGGATCTCCATTTAATTAAGATAAAATATTTTTCATTAAAAAAAATATAATTTTGCTTAGCCATTTCATTAAATGTAGCAAAAATTATACCTCCACAGAGTTTGTTCAGGAAAGTGAGGCTTCTCTATGGAAGATACAGTGGATGCAGTCTGTCTTGAACTACAGGGATCTAATGTCACTGAAATTAGTGGAATCCCACCTAAAATTTATGACTTTAAATGGAAATAGAGCCAGTCACAGTTTTTGTATGAGTTGCTTTATCAATAAAATGGAGAACAGTCTGTAAAAGTGCTTTAATGTTTGCATCAGAGTGTTTTGTATATAATTTTAAAGATATGTCTGCTTTACAGGAATTTGGAAAACCTCAATTCATTGCTTTAGGCTCCTTATTGTAGTATAGGGATAAGCTATTTTTTTTTTTAATTAACATAAAGATTTAAAAAATAATTAATGTAAAAGGAGACTGTGGATAGCCACGTTTAAGTCAGTGCTTTGGTTACAGCCTGGCTAAGCCATCTGGACCTTCTGCACTCCCACATGAATTAAGATTTGCTCTAAGTGCTGACTTCAATATCTGCTCTAGCATTCACTTTCTGGTACAATTTCCCTTGTTTTGAGCAAAATCCATCCAAGTTCCCTGGTATTCCCAGGAATCCCATGAGAATTTGTGTGAATAAGCTGGAGTTGCTTTGGACCAAAGAAACTTCAGCCCCGTGCCCCTTCTCAGCGGCTCAGCATCCATCTCCTTATTTATTCACCCTAATTTGAGCTTAACCTCTTGGCTGAATTCAGGCCAACTCTGCTTTTGTCTAAAATGTGGAAGTCTGGCTGCTGGCTTTTGAGACCATCCAGAGCTGTTTGATACCTAGAGCTCAGAAAACCAAGCATGTCCTATTTTACTGCCAGCCACCATGGTTCCTCTGATCCTTTAGTATCCATCAGCAGAATTTCCAAGATGCCAGCTAGTGGAGAAGGGGGGAAGGGAAAGGGACACACGTGGCAGGGAAAAAAGAAAATCCACCCCAGGAAACCGAGCATATAATCCGCTTGGGTTCACATCTGCCCCCGGGTGTAAATGACAGACTGATTTTCTACTAGCTGCTCTTGCAGCCACTCTGTTTTTGCTGGATGCGCAGTTTGTGTGCTGTGTACACACTTTCCTTGTCCTGTCTTTCCTGTATTCATCAGCTTTAATTGTACCTTGGTATCTGTTACACTTTTAACCCCCGTCTTAACCCATTTTAATTACCTTATTACCTATTTGTGATAAGAAGGTCTTGCCTCAGTGACCTTTTTAATTTCCTTGGTACCTTTCTGGTTTTTTAACCCTTTGCTAAGCATATGCTAATTAGAACTTTTTTTTCAGCCTATTATTTTCTTTCCATTTGCAAAATCCCCTTGATTTTCACTTTCTTACACTTTTCTGATCGTGTTGCAAGGCTGAAATAGTGTTCTGAACCATCACATGGATGAGGGGGAGACATTTTAATGTGTTTTCTTTTAATTTAACATCATTCCTCTTCTTATTTATCTACTGTCCAGTTTTCATTAACAATGCAAATTATATTTGCCTATTTTACTAAATTCTCTTATCTCCATTTAATGAATTTTGAACCATGCTGTTTACTCATGTACTAATCTCATGTAGAATTTGAGCAATTATTAGTGCAACTATCTGTTAAAAGCTGCAGGAAACCAAAGGTATGGGATTATAGTCAGAGTTAAGAACATCCCAAAACAAGAGAAAAGATGCTTTTTGTGAATTTCACAATGGGACCACATTCATTTTCATTCATTACTGTCTTAGGCCAGCCCTAGTGCCTGTTGTCCTTTGTCTCCCACGTCAGATATGAGGCCGTTTGCATGTTGATTTGTTCATTTCCCAGCACTGTCTGGTGACTGAAAAGCTATTAGACATCACTCTGTGATTTGTGTTATTTCTAATGTTCCTTTTTTTTAGCCTGATGTTTGATAGCCCTTTCCCGTCTGTTGTTGCAGGCTGTTGGACCCTGGACCTATGGACCAAATTTTCTCTCCTAGTGTACACTTTGGGTCTCTAACATTTGTCTTTCATCTATTCTATCTTCTTAATGACTACTTTGATGTCAGTTTTGAGGAGATGTGATCACATTTCCTCACAATATATGACCTGTCCTAGAATTGCAAATTATCAAGCGAGGAACATGTTCCCTGAAGCAGCTGGCAGCTGTTCAGGTCTGGAATACCTTCCCCTTTTGATTTAATTTTCCCCTTTTGGTCAGACAAATAAAATAAAGACTCAAACTTCTCAGTCCTAGGGAAATTTTGGAATATCTGACCTGCTGGGGTATGCATTCAATGAAACTACTGGCTTGAGCAAGTGCTCATCATACAGCAGTTTCCTGATCCAGATGAGGATCTTCTGTGCATCTTCTAGGACACAAAATGCCTGCTTAGGTTTCGTTTCATTCTTGGTTGCCTTGAGCTGGAATATAAATGGGAGAATATTTACCCAAGAGTTTGTAGCAGAGTTAGAATGACCCTGTGGTAGAAAGTTGTTGGCAATGTTTAGGAAATAATCACTGTACTGAAGAAGTAATGAGACAGCAGGATTGATAGTAATTTATTACCTACAACGAATCTTCTGTACCTTGTCATTCATGCTGGTTTTTGCTCTGTTGATCACCCTAACCCACTCTGCTGGCAGGTCCCTCATGAGCCCCCTGGGGTTAGCACTGCTCCAAGATGTAGTAGGGTTCCCCTCAGCATGACCAGCATTCTCCTTCCTCATGCATTTCAGAAATGTTTTTTCAGTCTGGCTGCAGACTCGGGGAGGAAGCACAGGTCTGGTTTCAGCCATTTATTTGCAGTGAGAATTAAAATGAGAAAAAACACAAGTGAGAAAGGAAAATCAGATTTTTAAGTGCAGCTCTAAGGACACAGTCCACTTGTGTTTGATTTGGCAGCAAAGCCCTTTAAAGAAGTGCTCACTTTCTCCCAACCCATCCCTCCCTCTGCCACGGTTTTCTACCTGTCAGTTCTGCTGATGCAGCTCACTGTGGGAATCCTTTTTGGAGGGAAGAAATGTGTCTTCAGTGTGTGAGTTGTGTTACAGTCTCTAAAGTGATTGCATTCAAACCACAGAGGGTGTGAAATACAGACAGAGCTGGGTGTCAGAGGCTGAGAGGAGCCAGGAACTGTTAAATCTGCGGGTCAGAGCCCTGCTGTGGCTCTGTGTTGTGACTCCAGCCCCGAATGCACGACTTCCCAAGGGCTGCTTGCCCTCTTAGGGTGGAAGGAATGTTTGAGAGCAAAGGTTGCTCACAGTGCTGTGCTTCACTCTGGTGACAGGCACCGTGATGACACCCAACTACATCGACTCCAGCAGCCTCAGCGTGGCCCCGTGGTGCGACTGCAGCAACAGTGGCAACGACATAGATGAATGCCTGAAATTTCTGAATTTCTTCCAGGACAACATATGCCTTAGTGAGTACAAAATTAGGTGTCTTTTAATGCATTGTAGGGTGTTTTCTGGAATTCCTTTACTGCTTAAGTGTGTTGTGACGCATCGAGGCCATCACTTTGCACTTCGTTGAGCGTGGTTCTGTTGTAGGTGTAAAAATTAAAAGAATGAGCAAATGTGCCTGATACTGTGATTTATGACCAAGGTAGCAAACAGGAGAAGCTCTTGAGAAAAAAAAAACAAAACCCAAAGTTTTATGGTATTGAAATATGTTTACATCACAGGTCATATTTGGAGCCTAACAGTCAGGCAGGATCTTTACCATGGAGTTGCAACACCTGAGGGTTTTCTGTATAATTGAAGAACTTCATATAAAAAAAGACATGTAGTTTAGGATATGAACGATTTGCTGTAAGTATAAATGGGATTGTGCTTGTAATTTACAGCCAATTTCTTTTTTTTTAGGATATTTGATCTCAGATGCCCAGTTTTAACACAAGCCTGGATAGTAACTATTGTAAAGATTTTGTTAAATTATTGATTTTTTTTTTCTGTCAGACTCACTTCCAAATTAGGGACTATTACAAATTTCAGAATGGCTCAGTGGAGTCAATTTTGGCAGGTTCTCTTTTCAAATTTCCTGTCTGCCTGGAGCAGCATAATTGGATGATGTGGAGTGTGCATCAGAGTTTTAATTTCAGATAAATGAGGAGACCAAAAGAGCTTGGCTTCCCTAGTCTAGCAGAGCAGAAGCTGAAAGGCTACGTGGTTGTCCTCTGAAATTGCATTAGTGGGGCAAGCCCAGCGAGGGGAAGGGATTGCTTCACCTGCAGGACAGTGTTGGCATAAGATCAAAAAGGCAGATATTGGCCATACATAGCTTTGAAATTGGAAAGTTTTTAACCATCAGACTAAAGTTAAGAAATAGCACTTCCAGCAGGAGTTTTTAGGGTAAAGGTGGTTCTAAAAGTCATAGTTCATGAGTTTATGCCAAGAAGCAGACATCATTGCTTTTCTCAAAAACAGTAAATGAGCTCAGTGATCCAGAGTGGCGCATCCAGCCCTACAGACTTGAGCTGATGGTAGTGCAGGGTTCAGTATTTTCAGGGTCTGAAAATCCCCACTGGTAGCTTCTCAAGAGGCAGCATTGCAGTGAAACACGGAGTTCTGTGCACAAAAACCTGAGTTGCTCTGTGATACACTATTTATTAAGCTTTGGAAGAATGAATCAATTACTCAAGATCATTTAACAAAAAAAAAAAAAGAGAGAAAATAGTTCAAACTTTACGAGGGGTAGAATTTAACAATATGCTATCAGACCTTCTTCAGGCCTAATGGCTGTTGCCATTTATATCCATTGCAATACCTCATTTTTTATTCATTTGTGAATGTATTAATTTCTAGAGTGTTACAGGTTCCTTTTGGAACATAAAGACAGAGCGATTCCTTGTCCTTTCTTTTGCCATCAGTACAAAAGCATTAATGAAGACAAATCAAAGACATTGGAGGTTACTGTGAGACAAATTATGTCATCCTAGCTGCAGGATAATGTCTTCTTCAGGAAGAAATTAAAGGTGTTTCGAGACTTTATACAAAGTTTTGTCTCTCACATAGAAGAGGAATTTTTATGAATTTTTATTTTCATTAGTGAGCCTTCCGCTGCCTGGAGAAAATGTCATTAAAATACTTCCTACTTCTTTTACACAATACAAAAACCTCTTTTTCTATGGTAGTTAGAAACTAGGAATTTCTTGCTAGTCTTGCTAGTTTTTTAGGATATTTCCCCTTCAAAATTGAAGATAAACCCGATATTTGGGGCATTTTCAGCAATGATCTAGTTGAACTTGCTTATTGCAGGAGGTTGGACTAGAAGACCTTGAGAGGTTCCTTCAACCCAAACAATTCTGTGATTCTGTCATAGAATCATAAAATATCTCAGGTTGGAAGAGGCTCCTAAGGATCATCAAGTATGTATTGTATGAAATAATTGAAGAAGAATAATTGTAAAGGCCACTTGTTACTTTGAAAACTGGAAGGACTGCAGGTATTTCTGTGACCGTTCTTGCAACAACAGTGGAAACAAAGAGTTACTGTGATTTTAGGAAATACTGCTTTTTATATTGACTTATTCAGGGAAACACAAGAAAACTTATCATTTCCCTCTTCCCACTTTGTCTCCATTAATGCAGCTCATTTTGGTGCTTTTTCAAGTTCTCTTTGCATGTTGAAGTTCTGAGAACTAATATCAGAATAAAATACATCTTTTTTCAGAAGAAAATTACATTTAAATTATTTTATAAGGCAAGGAATGCCACTGAGAAGAAGTGTTAATAACTTCCACATATTAGTCCCCAGTGAAATTGTTTGATTTCTTGTACAAAGAATTTGAAATAAGAAATCCCCAAATCCTTGTTCAATCCCCAGAGACCTGATTAAGAACTGTTTTTCTATTTGTTTATAAAAAACTCCAACCAATTTACTCTTGCTATAAACACACTCTTTAATCCTGTGAAACTGTGATAAGCTTTTTAACTTTTATATTCCAAACTTTTGGTTTAACCATGTTTCCCTCACCCAATTATGCAGATTTTGATTGAAAATGGTAAGAAAAAGATTGCCTTAGTTAAACTATTTTGTAGTTATAGGCATATTAGTTTTACTACAACAAGCTGTAGAAATAAATATTTATCCTGTTCTCTGTTTTTAGTTTGCTCTGTAACTTCACCTTCCTGAATTAGGAGATGACATTCAAACTGTATTTTAAATCTTGAAAGTAAATTTTTTGAGTCTTTTGGATGGTAACAAATATGATTATGGTAAGTCCTAAAGCTTCTGTCAAGAATTACTGGAAACATTACAAAGAAGAGGCTGCACCAAATGATTGTGTGACCCCAGATTTTCGGTTCATCTTTCTGATAGTTTTAAAAATAACACACATTTTTCAGCATAAAATTGAGTTTCTATAAATACGCATTTGAAATGTAATAATAATAATAATGGCAATAAAAAACAACTCAGTTCTGCTTTTTGCCTTTTTTTTTTAGAAATAGAAAATTGCCTGTAATTTATTTTCACAGAAAATGCAATTCAGGCCTTCGGAAATGGCACTGATGTGAACGTCTGGCAGCCAATTTTACCAGTACAGACCACTACAGCCACAACTACAACAGCTTCCAGACTTAAAAACACAGGGTCAGAGACCACCAACAACGAAATACCCTCCCACAATGATGCACCAGCATGTGCAAACCTGCAGGTAAGAGAGTTTTGTACTTCTTGTTGTGCATAAATGAAAGTTTTTCACAGATACCTGTCCAGTGTTCTCCCACTGCCTAAATTAGAATATCTGTTTATTCCCATGCTGGAGTTAGAAACTGTGTGTGTTGTGAGCTATCAGACACTCACTTTAAATCAGAAACTTGCATATCTCAAAGTGGACTTTAATGCCTCTCTGTCTCAGAAGGAGGGGATGGTATTTAATTTCTTATCGCAGGTTTGAATGCGAATGTGGCACTCTCCAAATCCTGCCAGGATATGTCAGATTAAATTAATCCCTTGAGTACTCCTAATTCAGAGGGAACCCTTAATGTGAGCTAGCATATCCTGCTGCCTTCTTTCTCATATTATTGGCATTAAACTCAAGAAGGTTTTTTGGCTGGGTAGGTCTGGGTATTAGAGCTACGTGTTGAGGAAGCTGGACACAGATAAAACTATTTTGACCCAGTCACTCTCCTGAACTGAGGTTGAGGTCATGATGTAATTCTGGCCAATGGCTGTAGTCATTTTCTGTGACACTTAAATTAGGCTATTGATAGTGGATCATTGATTCTGGATTTAAAGGCTCACCACTTGATGAAGACAGTTCTTGCAGCTCTTTGAAAGACTGAAGGACTTGGGCAGCAGACAATGGTAAAATCAAGGCAGGAAAAAGGTAGCAGGAAGTGTAAAATGAAAACATTCTTAGGCCAGATTAGAATCAGGCTATAAAAATTTCTGATGGTTTAAATGCAAAATTAGGTCAGGCAGGGATAGATCAGCTTGTCCTGTTTATTTTTGTCTTTACAGAAGGAAAATTGCTATGTGACACAAATGTAAGTGTCCAAGCTTTAAGGTCTCAGCTGATATTAAGATAAACTTTTCAGGATTTCACTTTTAAAGCATTGATTTTTCAGTTCCCTGTAAAAAAAATCATTTTGTTTTCTTAACATTAAATAGTTCCATATGCACTGAACCAGAAATATTTTATCTCTGAGAAATATGTTTTGCTTCTTGATTTTTCTTGCACCGCTCTCTCTCTCCTTCATCCTTTTCCAGTTCCTGCATTTATTTTGCATTGGAAAATTGTATCTGCATCAACATAAAGGACATTACAGAGTCACAAAATATAGGGGGGTTAATGATAGATGGTGCTGAGTTTAGATCCTTCTGTTTTAATTCTGTTTTTCACATCTGTGCATTCATTATTATTTGAGCTTTGTAAGTTATTGATAAGAGAGATAGTTGGAGGCATATATTGCTATTTGCAATAGTAATTTAGCCAAATAGAACATGCTGAAAGAAACACAGCCTTTTAAACCTTGGAAACTTGGAATATCTTGCATTTAGAACAAGACCTTGATGGGATGTTATTGAGTCACTTCATGTTATATTAAAAAGTTGTGTTATGGGAGAGATCACATTTTCCTTCAGTGTTTGTACAGCCCCCTGTAGAGTAAGGCCTCCAGATGCTACCAAAGTACACATAATAAATAAAGAACTGAAGAAATGGCAAATGATCACAAATCCCATTGGATTCACTTCAATTTGCAAATGTTCCTTAAGCCTGAATAGATATTCCTGTGGTTTGAAAATGACTTAAATTCTTCCCCGTCCTTCCTTCTGTTACCCTGGCATTTTGAAGTCACATCCCACATGAGTTTTATCAGCTCTGGTTTAAAGCTCTGCTGTGACTTCAAGTGTACCCCCTGATGTACTTGGCACAAGAAGTAAAGGTCTGTAGGGAAAATAGGTTCCTTTACATAAATGATTTCTGCTGTTTGGTAGAAACTATTGTAGATAAAGTCTGCACTAAAAGGTCACCAAAGTTATGTGAACCAAGCAGTTTTATTCCTGTGAAGTACAATATTCTATGCCTACCACTTCCTTCTGTCAGAACTGAAGCACAAAGAACAAAGCTCTAATATTTTAATGCATTTTTCAAAAAGTAACTTACCAACAGAGCCAAAACAAGCCCACAGTTTTTTTAAAAAGAAACCTATGTTTTTTGGACAGTATGGTGCCACTTTGCAAGTGAAATTTAAACCCTAATGCAAATTTTATAAAAGAGCTGGTATTCATATTGCACTTGGAGAAGGGTATTCATTCCAAGCCTCTCCTCCCATGAAAATATGCCTTTGTAGTATTTTCAAAACATGAACTAGTGCAGCCAAAAGCTTTTTTATATGCTTAACAGCTGAGCTGAAAGGTTTCTAAAAGGCAGTATAGCCTGAATGCTGTGAAAAGTCAAATTACAAGCATCAGTCTCGGCACAAAAAGACAATGGCAGAGAGGGGCTAAGGAAGTGGTCATTGAGATGCAACAGGGCTGCATATTCTAGTTAGTGGGTTTAAAAATACTACGAAGGAAGAAGGAGCAGGAAGTGATTGATTAGTATAAATTGCCATTGAAATAAATACAGCAAGGGAAGAAAGAGCAGGAAGTGATTGATTAGTATAATACAGCCACAGAAATGTGCAAATACCAATCTCCTAGGGCTGTAAAACACGGGGCACCAACCCAGTCTGCCAGGAGCACCACTGGCTGAGCAATTTTTGATACATTTCTTTCTGCCTTGTTGAGAATGGTCATATGAAGAGCAGGTTTTGTCTCTGTGCCATGTTCTCCTGCACAAGCAAACCTGGGAATTGGAAAGGTGGTGAATGCTTAAAGAAAATATGTGATACACTTTGTTTACCTATACTCAATATTTATTTCAAAATCGTGTTGAAGATTTGGACTTTAAAATAATGTTTATTTTAGTGATGCTTTTTAGAAGTTGTTCTTTATTTGAACTTCTCATTGCTATGAGAATCCTATTATGGGATATTTTCTTATTTCAGATTGATTCAGCAGAAAGTTTATTTCTGATATCTGCTTACTTTATGTTTACTTATGCACAGATTGTGTAAGATACTCTTTTTTTCTGTCCCTCAATTAGCATTCTATCTTTGCCAGGAAGATGCTCAACTTTGTCAAGAATCCTCTAAACTCTTTTTACCAACCTGACTTCTAACAGAATTTGCTAAACACAGTTAATAGTAGTTAGGTTTATACAAAATGCTAAATTTAAGTGTATTTGAAGTGCTTGACATCTTGCAAAGGATTCTCAGCACCACATAAAAATAACATAAAATATTGTGAACAAAAAGGGAGATTAATCCCAACGGCATGTTCCTTATAAAGGCAGATTTTATTAAGTAATTGCCAACCCTATCTTTTTTTTCTTGGTAGCTTAACTCTAATGTTTTCTATTTAACTGACATACATGTTAATCCTTCATTTTCAGTCATTACTTGCATTCAATATGCCAGTCAAAAATGGTTCTGGTCTTCCAGTCTCATGTTCTGCCCCCACTGCCTGAACCATCATGTTGGATTATTTGAAAGGGACAAAAGAATGAGTTTGGATGTGTACTCACACCATATATTCTTCAAAAAAAGGCTGCCTTTGCATTTAGGAGAGATGGACAGACCTGAAAAATGATAATGAAATGAACCTCGAGTGATAGATTAGACCAGTTGTTCCTGGGTCATCGCAGAGATAAATAAAAAACTGACTTTCACACTGGATTGTCTATGATATCTTAAAGGATGTTTTGCAAAAAAACCAAAAATTGTGGAAGTCAAGACGGTTAAGGACATTTAAGCAAATTTATGCATCAGTCTTGCTAGCTAGCTCTATAGTTTGTTTTCCCATATTTCTTATGTCTTGCTCTTGCTCTGGATGTTCAGGATGCAAAGAGAAATTAAGGATTTTGTGCTTTTGAAGAATGTAGCAATGGACAGATATAATTGAGATACATGGCCCTTGGGACTGAAGACAAGTCCAGTATTAAGTGTCATGCTTGCAGCAGCAAAATTTAAAAACTATGAGGTAGAAATTGAAAATACCAAACATTTTGTGGGGAACACAGGAGAAGAGAAATCTGGATACTTAAATATGTCAATTATTTCTATTTGCATGTAAGATTAGTGAGTGTTTATAGCAGATGTGGGTCATAATTCAAGCTCCTCTTCCACAAATTCACGTAATACTTGTGATTTTAAAAAGTGTTGGTGAATCCTAGGAGAAAAACAGGAGAGAGGGCTCACAGTAAGGAGGAGAGCAGGAGTTAAATGTGACTCAGACTGAAAATGACTCTGCTTTTGCCTGCTCTCTCTGAGGAGAGCAGGAGTTAAATGTGACTCAGACTGAAAATGACTCTGCTTTTGCCACGTAGATCTGTCTGTGCAGACCTTTAGCCCTGTGCAGGGAGCTGCTAAGCTGGTGGTTTAAGTACCCTCTGTAATTGCTTAATGTTGCTTCCCAGGTGCTAAATATCATTATTGGAAAGCATTATGTAGATGTTTGGAGAGGGCTGAAAGCTCCAGTGTAGCATGCTGAGGATCAGGACACAGCAGGTGTGGATCTCCAGGGGCTGGTAATTGGGTGGTGGGTGAGCATAAGCAGGAAGCACAGGCAGTGTGGAGGTGAGGGAATGGCACAACTGCTGAGATGGATGTAGAGACAAAGCTTGTTTTATGCCCTGAGCACCAATATTAACTCAGCCATACACCTGGCACCCTCTTTCCCCCATCCCTTCACACGGCCCATGAACTTCTTTCTTCTTTTTGTGATAAACAGCACTGATTTTTCAAATGTCCTGCCTGCTCCATCCCTTGGAAAAGTCCTGCTTGGACCTCTTCCTCTGGGCATTGCAACTACAGAGAAAGATACAGTCTGAGGAAAAAGATGAACAACAATGTAAGACTCTCAATGTTGTACCAGAACCAAAAGAAAAAAGTTCAAAAAAATAAAAAAAAAAAAGACAATGTTTTCTATGAAAAGATTTCAATCTACCTCCTGTACTTCCAGGATTAGCTGACATAATGGGGTCAGCCTGCTGATACAAGTGATTTAGAGACCACCTATTGGCAGCTTTTCTGCTAAAAAAGCAATGTCTTTAATTTGCTTCAGTGGCAATTCCCTTGTACCTAAAGAAGTCTTGAGTGTTTTGTG